AGGACCCCGGGAAGCACGCGCCCTGACCACAGGTCGGGGGCAGCACGTCAGAGCAAAAGTGGGGGCCCACGTCCAAAGGAAAATGCACCAGGGACTCCGGCTGGCCCACGGGGCCACATGCTACAAGGGAGAGCCCGGCCGGCCAGGGCAGCCCAAGGCGGCGCCCAGCGACCCTGGGTGAGGAGGCAATCTCACTGCTGCCGCCACAGTGAGGGCCGGGAGGGCGAGCAGCAGGTGGAGGGCGAGGGTCCTGGGCCCAAAGGCGGCCGGGGGCTCCCCCAGGGGCCCAGGGTGTGAGGGGAGAATATCTCAACAGAGGTCTCAACAGCCCGGGGCTGGGCGCTGGGCCCCACCCCCACGAGGGAGTCACAAGCTCACCTTGTGATAAACCTCCGGCGGGGACGTGACCAAAGTGGGGCAGAAGGAGGTGACTCCGTGGGCCAGGATCCTCCGGGCCACCAGGTCGACCCCTGAGCCCACGTCCTCCGTTGCCTGTGAGAAGTCCACGCCAAATCCACCTGAGGGCACGGAACACAGGGGTCGCACGGTGCTCCGAGGTCCTCCGGAGCCCCCCTCTCCCCGGCCGGGCCGCACCGTTGATCTGCACGTCGATGAAGCCCGGCGCCAGGATGCAGCCGCCGCAGTCCCGCTGCTCGTCGGCCAAGCGCCGCTCCTCAAAAAACAGCTTCTCCGGGTCCAGAATGCGGCCCCCGCGCACCCACAGGTCCTCCCTGCGGACGGGCGGCTCGGCTCGGCTCAGCCCCGTCCCCGCCCCCGCCCCGGCCCCGGCCTTTGGTTAGTCTTTCGCCTTTCAAGTACAGGATCCTTTTTGTCCCCTGCTGCGTGCGGTGTCAATTTCCGAGCGGAAGTGGCGGTAGACTGAGAGAAGAAGATGGCGGCCCCTGCAGTCTTGCCGCCTGGTGCGGTGACAAGTCGGGCTAACAAACGAAGCGGCAGTGCACCGGGAAGCGGCGGCGGGGGCGGCGGTGGAGCATCCAGAGGGGCGGAAGAGGAACCGCCGCCGCCCCTACAAGCAGTGCTGGTGGCTGATAGCTTCAACCGCCGCTTCTTCCCCATCTCCAAGGACCAACCTCGGGTGAGCCGCGCGCGCACGACCCAGGGATGAGTGCTGGCGGTGCTGGAGCAAGTTATCTTTTTGGCCGCCTAGTGAGGAGTGCTCTAGAAGCACATGTGTCCTAGCCTCTTCTCCTGAAATTTGGATTTATCTAGTTAGGAGGACAGCGTTTAAAACCCTGATGACAGCCTGGCTAAATGAGTGGCTGGCAGATTTGGGCACTCGTAGCGTTGTCGACCTCAAGTTGAAGAGGCATGCGGATAACTAAATGTAGAAGCAGTGCTGGTGTGAAGGCTTCACACAAGATTTAATGCCCACAAAGGAGGCTGCGCTGCCTTTATGCAGAATAAAAAGACTTGTTTAGGTAAAATGGAACATCACCTCCTTTTGCCTCCGAGAGCGGTCATATGCCAAGAAAAAAGGGGGAGGGGGCTTGATGCTATATAGTCACAGCTGTTTCGAATCTTGTGCAGTGTGCTATTTTTTATTTTCGGTATTAATGACAGTCAGTTCCATCTGTCAAATGGAAAACAATTGGTCAGTGACTGGTTGCCAGCAGCCCCTATAGAAGCTGGGAAGTTAGAAATTAGACCGAGCTATCCTGGTTTTGCTATATCACTAAGCAGCCTCCGGTTAAAAGAGAAAGAACTGCATTCCACTTAGGGAAGATCTTAACTCAGAAGCTGGGAAATTAGAAATTAGACCGAGCTAATCCTGGGTTTGCTAGGTCACTCAGCAGCCGCAGGTTAAAAGAGAAGGAACTGCATTCCATTTAGGGAAGATCTTAACTCCTCCTCACCCTGAAAGCTTAATGGCTTTTCATTTTGGGCTACTGATTGGGGCATAATTAGCCCCCCTGCTAGGAATCAAGAAAGAAAATTTCATAGGGAAAGGGGTTGCTAAGAGGTCCTTAAATTCCTGGAGATATGATTGATTTCCAGTGTTATCCTTTGTCAGAGGTGGTCTGCTATTCTTTTAGCATCTCTGTCTGATGCTAAACAAATAGATTCCATGCTTACTACTATCCAGATTGCCATACCTTAAACTCTGATGCTTAAAGCATTCAAACATCAAAGACAGGAATCTAGTTACTTTTAATTGAAATGATAAAGCAAAACTGTAGTATTTTGCAAATACTGAGAGAGAAATGAAAGTTCTGTTGGTGGTGGAAAATGATATGCAGAGGGCCTTCATGCATTTAAGATTTGATTTTTTTTTTTTCTTTCATCCATCATCCTCCAGGTCCTCTTGCCCCTAGCCAATGTGGCACTAATTGACTACACTCTGGAATTTCTGACTGCCACAGGTGTACAGGAAACCTTTGTCTTTTGTTGCTGGAAGGCTGCTCAAATCAAAGAACATTTACAGTAAGGCCTTGCAACTCTTCTTTCCATGTTTTGCCATTTTTTTCCCCCAGTTTTTTAGTATGGGGATAACTAAATGAAGGGAAATTGTGAGGGGAAAATTGTGTCTATTTAGGTTGCATCATAAAGTCTAAAGGCATTCTCCCACTTCTTTGGAAGTGAGCAGCTGAAGCTGTGACAAAGATTAAAGAATAGCATCTGAGGTTTTCTGAATCTCACAGTTGGGTCCCCATGGGTTTTACTGTTTTTTCTTAAGATTTATTTATTTTATGCATACAAGAACTGGAGAACAGGCCAGAGGTGTAGGGATGAAGAGGATTCTCCAGAATCAACAGAACAGGCAGACTGACTGAAGTACACTTCTGAGGGGATCAGTGGGCGAGACAGGAGAGGTCTTCCTCTACACCTGGGTCACCTTCCTGTCTTGGGATCAAACTCAAGTTACAGTGGCTGTGGATAGCTTCACACTGCTGTACTTTAACCCTTGCACCACCAGAGAGGGCCCAGATTTTACTTTACTTAATAATTCTGATTTAGAAGTTATAAGAGTAACTTCTTTGTCTATTCACTGAGCTTCTAAATATTGAGCTTTTTCCTCATTGTTGTGTTCCTGATCCCCAACTTGGTATCAAAGCACATAGTAAGCATTTAACATGTTTGGTGAAATCCTCTTGAAAAAGAGTGGCTTTCAGTATTTATGAATTCAGAAAATAAAGTGTAGAACTTGTCTCCCTTAGATACTTCTAAATTTGGTTTGGACTTTTGAAGAAGAAAAGCCCATAAAAAATGTATTGCTAGAATACTGTGTATACTCTAATTCTAGCAGGATTGTTTAGTTCAAACCCACATTTGGAGACAGGAGGCAAGATTGGGAGAGGAAATAACCATGTTTCTCTAACCCATAAAACAAGACTGGTGACAAATGATGCCAAAACCATTAATTATAGCTCATAAATCTCTCTGAAGTTGAGGACGCTGGCATGAACTCAAAAAAGCCGTAAAGAGGGAGTCAAATAGGGAAGTAGGAGGATTAGGGAAGGTGTACAAGATCTTTATTCCTGATTTACCCAGTTTTCTCTCTACCACCCCCGTTCCTTAGGAAGTCCAAATGGTGCCGTCCTACATCCCTCAATGTGGTACGAATCATCACATCAGAACTCTATCGATCACTGGGGGATGTCCTTCGTGATGTTGATGCCAAGGCCTTGGTGCGCTCTGACTTCCTTCTGGTGTATGGGGATGTCATTTCAAACATCAATATAACCAAAGCACTGGAGGAACACAGGTCAGGTTGGAGGAATGGTAGAGACAAGGGTTGGGCTCAACAGAGCCCTCAGATTGGTTTTTTGCAGCTCTCTCCCTTCAATTCCTATAGATTGAGGCGGAAGCTAGAAAAAAATGTATCTGTGATGACAATGATCTTCAAGGAGTCATCCCCCAGCCACCCAACTCGTTGCCATGAGGACAATGTGGTAGTGGCTGTAGATAGTGCCACAAACCGGGTTCTCCATTTCCAAAAGACCCAAGGCCTTCGACGCTTTTCTTTTCCTCTGGTATGTGGGTATCTGAGGTTCAGGTGGGAAAGTGACCAGCTTCGGCAAGAGGAATAGTTGTTACAGTTCTTGTGACTTTTCCCCACAGAGCTTGTTCCAGGGCAGTGGAGATGGAGTGGAGATTCGCTATGACTTACTAGATTGTCACATCAGCATCTGTTCTCCGCAGGTAAGCTCCTTAGGCTGTGCAGCATATCCAAAGAGTAGAATTCCTGAGGGTATATTACTGCCCCTTGAGAAGGCCAGTGTTTATTTCTGTTCCCTCATTCATTAATCTGTCCAAATTAATTAAGTGTTGTCATCTTGACTCCAGTACCCCATTGGGTTGGGGCCTTCTTGGAATTCTGACCCATGTTCTGCGGTCTTAGGTGCTGCTGATAGGCCTCTGGGGACTTACCTTTGCTTCCTTTTGCTCCTCACATCTCCTGCCACAGGTGGCTGAGCTCTTTACAGACAACTTTGACTACCAAACTCGAGATGACTTTGTGAGAGGCCTGTTAGTGAATGAAGAGGTAAGAAAAAGCTCCCATTGCCTCTGTAGGAGAGGATTATGATCTTATCTGATCTTATCTTATGCTGATAACATTTGGCTCCCTTTTGTATTTTATGGAGCTTAGGAGAGAAGAGAGCCAGGGTAGGGAAGGAGAAGCTATACAGAAAGAAAAGTCTCAGGTCATTTGACTGTGATACTGAGAAGTAGAGGGGAACTTAAAGTTAGAAGAGAGTTGTCCCTGGGAGTGTTCTTCCTGTCTTTCTTACTTGGTTCGCCTCTCTTTCCTTCTCTTCATTCAGATCCTAGGGAACCAGGTCCACATGCATGTAACAACTAAGGAGTATGGTGCCCGAGTCTCCAATCTACATATGTATGCTGCGGTCTGTGCTGACGTCATTCGCCGATGGGTCTACCCGCTCACACCAGAGGCAAACTTCACTGACCACACAAACCAAAGCTGCACTCATTCCCGGCATAACATCTACCGAGGGCCTGAGGTCAGCCTGGGCCATGGCAGCATTCTGGAGGAAAATGTACTCCTGGGCTCTGGCACTGTCATTGGCAGTAATTGCTCCATCACCAACAGTGTCATCGGCCCTGACTGCTGCATTGGTAAGCACAGGTGGGGAAGTCAAGCTGGCCATCCTAGGAGCAACACCTGAGGGGCTCCCCATGTCTCCAGAAGAGGATACAAAGGGGGTAGTCCTTGGGTGTAAGGAACTGGAGTGGCTACCTTAATTAAGGAGGGGACCGGACTTTAAAACAGTGGCACTTAAATTTATGACCTGTAACTTTCATGTTGGGTGACTCTTCACATGCTAGGTGCCCTATATTCACACCCAGACCAAGTAGATAATTAATATAAAGTAATAACATCTGTTAGGTGCATTATAGTTTACAAAGGGCTTTTGCTTACATTTCACAAACCTTGTGAAGTAGGTATTACTTACCCCCACAGTTTATAAATAAGTAAATAAGCTTAAAGAGGTCAGAGCTAATAAAAGCTAAGACTTGTATTATGATTGTAAACCCAGTGCTTTGTTTGCTTCACCATAACTGCCTGTATAACCTCTTGGTAACTCACTTTGGTTATAGGGATGTGGTTCTAACTCTCAAATACATAATCACTGGAATAATTTGGCTCTATTTCTAACATGGGTATGAGTCTAATAAGGGTCTTGTGTTCAAGGGGTCCCCAGAAATCTTGAAGGTTCTCAGGTTCTTAAGTCCTGTAGTTAGGTAGTCTGTAATTATTGTAAACCTGGTGAAGACTGTATAGGCTGAGCAGTATCTATTCTCAGGCCTGGGCTTAGAAGGGGAGTGGGTGTTTCTGGTGAATTAGGGAATGGGCTATTCAAATTGCATGGAAGCTGTGTTGTTGTCAGCTCTGTCCTCCAGAAATGGCCCTGGTCTAGAGTTGACCTCTGAGTGACCAAGAGTCCTTCCTGTCCTGAGCCAGGTGATAATGTGGTGCTGAACCAGGCCTACCTGTGGCGGGGAGTCCGAGTGGCTACAGGAGCACAGATTCATCAGTCTCTGCTCTGTGACAATGCTGAGGTCAAGGAAAGCGTTACACTGAACCCACGCTGTGTCCTCACTTCCCAGGTGAGACCTGTTTCATAACTGCACACAGGCCCCAAACTGAGTCGTGGTCATGTCAACGCAGAAGGGACCTTATGTCCACCCGTAACTCAGCCTGAATTGAGAGTCCAAATCCACAGGTTTCCTTTACACTCTATTTGCCCTAGGAAAGTGTCACTCTCACTATCAGAATATACTTTTCCTCAACACACTAATGAGTCTCTCCAACCCATTTTTTCTCACTTAGGTTGTAGTGGGCCCAGACATCACGCTGCCTGAGGGCTCAGTGATCTCTATGCACCCTCCAGATGCAGAGGAAGATGAGGATGATGGCGAGTTCAGTGACGATTCAGGGGCTGACCAAAAAAAGGAGAAAGTGAAGCTGAAAGGTGTGAGGCTCAGCAGGTGTGGGGCATCTGTGTATCTCTGCCCCATAGAAAACCAGTGTTTCTTCCTGGAGGGATTAATACCTCTCTTGGGCCTTTATTAAAGATCAGTGCCTTTTCCAGGTTACAATCCAGCAGAAGTTGGGGCTTCAGGCCAGGGCTACCTCTGGAGAGCTGCAGGCATGAGCACAGAAGAAGAGGAGGAGCTACGGCAGAATCTATGGGGTGAGTTAGGCCTTATTCCTATGTACTCCTCTTCTGTTAAATCAGACTATTTTGAAAGACTGTGAAATAAAACTACATTGTGCTTTACTTTATGCAGACAGGGTGGATGTACTGCTCTTTATTAAAGGCTCTTTTTCTTTAACTCATCCTTTCTTGGTTCGCAGGACTCAAAATTAATATGGAAGAAGCAAGCGAGACTGAAAGTGAGCGAAGTATGGATTCTGAGGAGCTGGACAGCCGGGCAGGCTCACCACAGATGGACGACGTCAAAGGTGAGAGGCCAGGAAGCCGTGTCCTAGGATGAAAGGAGAAGACCTTTGGTTTATTCCTCATCCGAATCAACTAGCTAAATGTTTGTGTTTCTCCCGGGAAGGGTTTGGTGTAAAGTCAGAGCTACATGACTTTACACATTCTGAAGTGTTGTTGCCCCCATGAACTTAATATGTGCTTTGATTTTAGTTTTCCAGAATGAAGTCTTAGGAACACTACAGCGGGGCAAGGAGGAGAATATTTCCTGTGACAATCTGGTCTTAGAGATCAACTCTCTCAAGTAAGAGCAGGCCCTCCTTATTCTCTCCTCCTTGGGTAACCTCAGACAGGTAGATTGTTTCCTGTTTCTTCCCCGAATAGGAACTTATTCCCGGCAACATCCAAGGCCAGAAGCATTTAAAGCAAGGAGAACATTAGCTCTAGCCTCAGCAGACTTCCCTCGTCTAAAATCTTGCCCTTCCTTGTTACATCTGACTTCCTCTCCCAATGTCTGCAAAGTCTCAGCCCTGCAACATGCAGTGAGGGCCAGTGAAGGCCCTGGTGTCACTTCAGTCTCCCCACAACAGGTACGCCTACAACATAAGCCTAAAGGAAGTGATGCAGATACTGAGCCACGTGGTCCTGGAGTTCCCCCTGCAACAAATGGATTCTCCACTTGACCCAAACCGCTACTGTGCCCTGCTGCTTCCTGTGAGCAAAGACTGGGGCTGGGTACAGGGGATTGGGCGGAGGTAGATACACGTCCTTGCTTGCTTAACTTTAAAGGAAATCACGAGTAGAGGTCTTGTGGGATAGGTGTTACTTGTGGTCCCTTTTTCCTTGCCTGGGTTCTAGGGCAACCTTGGCTGGTCCAGAGAAATCCAATTAGTTTCAACATTAAGTGGCTTTGAGACTCAAGGATTCAGACCATACAGATTCCTAACCAGAACAGACTGGATTTTCAGGTTCTGAAAATTATTTGACCCATAACAAAATCAGCCTTTGAGCTGGAAATAGTCTACAGCATCTGACCCCCTTTTCACCTTCCCTGGGTCATTTCTTTTTCCTGAACTCTCACTGCCAGCAACTTTCAAGTCCCTCTGATATGATTCCACAGGCCCTATGTCATGTCCCTCTTGTCTTTCCATGTCATGAAAATCCCATGTTGTCAATATTGATTTTTCTTTGCTGTCCCAGTGTAGGTGAATGCTCCAGCTGCAACTCCCTTCTTCTTTATTTCATAGCTGCTCAAGGCCTGGAATCCTGTTTTTAGGAACTATATAAAGCGTGCAGCTGACCATTTGGAAGCGTTGGCAGCCATCGAGGACTTCTTCCTGGAGCATGAAGCTCTTGCTCCTTCCATGGGCAAGGTGAATACCACCTGAAACTCCATGGTCCTGCGTCTGCTTTGAAAAAAGCCTGGGGGACCTGCATGGAGGCAAAACAGAGGCTCACATGAACCCAGTATGGAGTTTGGTTAACAGCACCATCCACCTCCTCCTATTGTGCCTATTGTTGGCTTAGCACAGCTTGCAGCCAGGCTTGTGAGCAGCCATTCAGAGGTTGCCCTGGGAATGTGCGGGCATTACTCAGTGATAGCTGTGGACGTTATACCTGCCCCAATACCAGAGTGAACAGCTCACTCTTAGCTATTTTGGTGGAGGCTGCCTATTGTGTAGAAGCTGAGATGCTGCTTACAGAGAGGTGCTAAGATGTTGCTTCCTCTTCCTGTTATCCACTATATCCATAAGACCCCTGAGGTACCCTGTGCTGGCCTCCTACAGGTGCTGATGGCGTTCTACCAGCTGGAGATCCTGGCTGAAGAAACAATCCTGAACTGGTTCAGCCACAGGGATACAACTGACAAGGGCCGGCAGTTGCGCAAGAACCAACAGGTAAGTGGGGCTGCCATCTTTCCACCATGGTGACTCTCTGGTTCCCTGGCCCTTGGCTCTGGGACTGATAGTTCAGGCTTTTTATGTGTCCCTCCCTCAGTGGCTCTTGACTCTGCTTCCTTATAGCTACAGAGGTTCATCCAGTGGCTAAAAGAAGCAGAAGAGGAGTCATCTGAAGATGACTGAAGTTGGGCTGCCTGCTCTGTGGACTGACTGCCCTCCTGGCTCCTGAACCAGGGCAAGTGAGGGGCTAATTCAGAAGGATGAGTAACCACCACCCAGGCTGAGACAGAGCAGAGGCTGGAACTACAGTATTCTTCACACCGCCAGCAACTGTGTGCCTCCCATCCTGACCGGGAAGTTGGGATGAAGGAAGCTGGACTAAACAAAGCTTCTGCCTTCGGAGGAGCTAGGCAGGCCCTACAGTTAGAGGAAGGCCAGAGGAACAGCTTTGTGCTCTGGTTTTCCCTCAGGGAACAGCAGAAAGCAACTGGTCCTATCTGCTGCTTGTATTTGTTAATATTAAAAAAGGAGAGAGTTGTATTTATTTTCTCCGATTTTGACTAATCAAGTAGATGACCAGCGTTCTGAACCTCTGACTCTGCAGCCTGTCCCCACTCCTGGGAGAGGAGAAGCAGAGGGATGTCCATGGCCACTAGGTGGCACCTTGCTAATTGGCTGTTGTCATGGCTTTTATCTGAGGTTTACATACTTCTCTAGCTTCTGTGGACCGATTTGTGGCCCTAAGTGGTACCTTAAGCCTATTTCCATAGAGAGTTCTAGTCCGGATATTTTCTGACAGAAGGTGATGGTACAAGCAAATGTAAAGCCCAATCAATAGCCACCTCCCAAGCCCCTCATGCTTTTTCTGGTTGATTCTGCTGCTTCTATCAGGGAAGTACTATCAGAGGAGCCAGACCACTCTTCATCCTAAAGATAAGGAAATTTGTTCAAGATCTTATGGCTTTTGAAGGGCACACTAACTTGAGCCTCATAATCCAGAATTCTTTCTGCTCCAGCATATTCAGTATTCAATGAAGAATTTACCCAAGACAATTACAACCCGAGTCAGTGATGAATGTCCTAAGTATACAGGGAGGTCCTGTGAAATGGGCTTTCCCCTACTATTGAGAGGCATTTTGCTAAGTATTTTTCATGTTTTTATTACTTAATTTCATAACAGCCCTAAGAAGTAGGTCTTAGCCCTTTTCAGATGATAAGTTCAGAGAGGTCCCATAACTAATTTTTAGAGCCAGGATTGTTGTTGGATTCTTGCTGGAGTTTATCAGTTTGCTGTTTTGTCATCTTTAACTTCAAATGTGAGGTACACTTTCAGTCTCATCTTTTTGAGCTCTTTGTGACCTTTCTATAACTTACTCTGTTGACACTTAAATGGTGGCAAATGTCACTGTGGTAACAAATGACCCTCCTGAACATCACAGGTAAAATGATTGCCTTCTTCATTTCAACCGGGTGGAAAGTAATCTGAGGAAGAGAACACTACCGAGGGGTTGAAGACATTTCTGAGCATTTCCTTTTTCCTCTTACTGCTGGGTATTTCTAAAGAGGGAAAATCAGGCTGGCCCAAAAGTTTGGCTTGATTCACTTTTCACACTCATTAAATCTCCTTCTCTGCTTTGTCAGATATAGGATCTAGTGCTAGAGGTTCATGCTAAGGTTATGGCATGGACTGAGTGGGGGTAGTTAAACACAGACATAGGGCATCTTTTATCTAATGGGCGGCAGAGATAAGAGGTGACCTATAGAACTTTTTAAGAGGAAATGATTCTTTCTAATAGTGATAAGGGAAAACTTAGAGGATTGTGATACTTGCATAGCCTCAAAAAAAACAGGAAAAGGTAAATGAAAATATTAAAAGTAAAGCAAATGATTTCCATTTAAACATGACTTATTTAATACAAGAGCCTCGTGGTCTCTCGAAAACCCCCAATAGAGGAATTACTCAAAAAAGGCATAAAATTCAGTAATAAAACACAAGTTAATAAAATACAAGGTAATAACAATGCGTGAGAGACATCAACACTTTGATAGTTCAGGAAATGAGGAAAGAGTCAGTTGACTTAGCAGAATAAGTTGGGTTCTAACCTGCTGAGGTAGTTTTTGCAAGAAGCAAGGTTAATGTACTTCTGAACCCAGAAAATGCTCAACAGAAGTAAGAATCAGGGCTGAGAACTGGGGATAGGCTGAGGGGATCAGCCTAAGATTTGTATGCCTAAGCATACTCCTGCCTTCACCCCATCCCTCCCTTTCCCCAGGTCCCCACCTCTTCTGATCCAGGAGTAATTACTCCTCCCCTACAGGAAATGGGAGATTTAGTTTCTGGAGAAATAGTGGGGGAGGAAATTATCAAAAGAAATACTTATAGTTTCCTGAACCCAAGGTTAAATGAGTTTCCAGACTGACCAAGTGTTCCATGAGTGCCCAGTACAATGAATAAAATAGCCCCATGAAATTTCAGAACCTCTAAATATAAACTACTAGAGCCTCTGAACTCAACAGCAGGCAAGATGGTGATGAGGGTGAGGTACTAAATTGAACATGTGGAATTAAATGAAAGCAAACAATAGGACTTATACCTCCCAGGCTAAAGCAAACCACAATTGCAGAAAAAAAGCCTATAAACATTTTGTTTTCTTGGGGAAAAAAAAAATCCATCTTCCCCTCCACTTGATTGTCCTACAGTGAAGCCTGTTAGTTAATAAGCCTTGAGTATTAACAGAGCTTTCAATTGGCTTTTCACTTGAGCATTTGAAGAAACTTGCAACTTGAAAGGCAGAGACCAAAAAAGCAAACAGTTCAAGGAAACTGACTAGGGAACTTTCTGAACATTTCAGGAGGGAAAAGTACTACAATTATCCTCAAATCAAAGGGAAAACGTGTGTATGGAAAAGTGCTATTTTAAAAAAAAAAAAAACTATATTAGATATCCCTGGTGGCACAAGAGGTTGAGTCACAGCACCAAGAAGCTGTCTGCACCCACTCTCCAGTATGGGAACTATCCACATGGCACAGCAGACCTCTCCTGTCTTGCCCCTACTCCGCTCAGCAGTGTATTTCAGTCAACCTGCCTGTTTTCCCACGCTATCTCTGGTGAACCCTTTCAACCAAAGAGATCTAAGACACCAGTGACTACAAATCCCATATGTCATCATCACCCAAGGGAAGATTGCTGGGAACTAAGAGTTAAAACAGTCAGGCCTGGTATATAATCAAACGTGAGAATTGGGGGGGTACTTGGTTTTCACTATGCTATACTGGGATCCCAGCTCAGCAAAACTGGTAAAATGCATTTACCAATTTATTTCTCTTTCTCCCTGGGTTATTCTTTTTTTTTTTTTTCTTTTTCGTAGATAAATTCTTTACTAACCTTTTTATGTGTACTTGCAGTTTAGTCTTATTATAAGTCATTATAAGGTGAGTCACTGTAAGTCTCATTTAAGCATGTGGGTGAGGACTCAGAGTAAGGCAACACATTTCACATTGGGGTTGTCCTGTAACACCCCTTTCTGTGGAAATTATTCTGTAACAGGCTTAGGGAAAAGAGCTAACTGGTTGGTAGATAGCAACATTGGAAACTAGAAAACCATTGGAATGATACCCTGAGAATTCTGAAAGAAACTTCCAATTCAGAATCATAATTTCAGACTTGTAAATTCTCAAAAAAAAAAATTATTTCCCATGCTTTCAAGGAAAGCTACCAAAGAATATATTTACAAAAGCAAAGGAGTAAAGAATCTGGGTAGGGAGATCCAACACAGAGAAGCAAAGGGAATTGTGAAGATGATGCAGAGTGGCAACTGTACAGGCTGCGGTAGCCAGCAGTGGAGACCAGAAACAGAACAAAACTTGAGAGAAGTGGAATTGATGGTTTATCTAATATGTTTGCATGAACAAAATATGCATTGAGATACTACTAGACGATGTGTAATGTTTGTAAAGACTTAGTAAGTATACCATAAAATGAAACAGCAAAGTAGTGATTAATGCCAGGGGAAACAAAATGTAAAAGAAACATATTCATAGTCAAATGTTGGTAGTAAGTACTATGTCATTTTAATCAAAAAGTGTGGTCTTACTAATTTAAGTAAATTAGTAAGTTGTAGGAGGTAGAAGACATCTATCAAAATTGAAAATCAGTCAGCAATGTCTAGAAAACATAATTCAAGAAATAGAGGTTTTTAAAAGAGATAATGGGAGGAAAATAATAGAGAATTGCTATTAAACACTTTCTTAACACTTTGTGCACACATAAGACGTTGAAAACAATTTGAAGGAAAGGGTATAGAATGAAAATATACAAAGTATGTACAGGGGTTAGCAAATAATAAAAATTTTAGTGAGGACATGATGAAATAAAAACTAGATAGAAGTAGGATTGCTTCGAATTTTTTTTTTTTAAGATTTGTTTATTTGTACATACTTAACTGGGGTACAGGCCAGAGGTCTAGAGGCAGTGAGAGGATTCACCAGAGACAGAGTGGGGAACAGAGCAGGCAGACTGATGAAGTACATTGCTGAGGGGGAGCAGTGGGCGAGACGGGAAGTCTGCTGTGCCATATGGGTCACCTCCCTGGCCCGGGACCTAACTAGTGCTGAAGTGGCTGAGGCTAACTTTGTAGTGCTGAGGCTAACTTTGTAGGGCTGTGCTTTAATCTGTTGGGCCACCAGGGAGGACCCTGCTTCGAATTTCTTGCTAAGGATATTCAGAAGGCCTTAGGGCTTGTGGGGTGGTTTCTGGGCAGAAGAGGTGTCTTCAAGAGGTACTGTTTTTTGAAGTGCTAATTTAGCAACAGTGTACAAAGTGGAATAAAAGAAGCATACATTGTTCCTAGAGCCTAAAAGAACCTATGGGATCTGGTCCCTGTGTGACCATCCCAGCCTCTTTTGCCAACTATGCCTACTATCCAGTGATCTGGTTCTTCAAATTTGTTAAGTTTATTCCAGCCTGTACATTTGCCTGTGCCCTCTGCCTGGGATGCCCTCCCCCAGACCAGATCTTGTAGCTGGGTCTGCATTAGTTCTAGGTCTGAGTTCAAACAGGGAAAGCCTCTGACCAACTGCCTCCTCCTGTTGTTATTACATTACTTCATTTTCTTTTTTACAACATTTTGTCATTCTGAAGTTATTTATGTATAAGCTTGTGTGCTTCCTTCCAGGTATGTGAAGGTTCGAAGGTCAGCCTTATCTAACTTGTTTTTGCTGTATTTCACAACAGTATGCCTTGTACACAGAAGGCACTAAATATTTATTAAACAAATTAAAAACTAAGAGGTGAGATATTAGGAACAGATTATGCCTCATTCTGCTTTGAGACGAACTATCCCAGTGTTGCATACATCTCCATTCCTGCATTTTCATTCTTCATTCATTCCACTGATTAAACCACTATTTTGCACCTACGTGCTGATATGTTAGAAATGAATCAGAATTGATTCTATTCTGTTCTGGGCTCAAGGAGTTCGGTTTGGCAGACTAACAGCAGCTCCGCTTCTCAACAGACCCTAAAGGTCCATGCTCAGGGCACTTTCCTCCAGCCATTCACGGTTAGAAAACACCATCACCAAGTCCGAGACCAAAGCGACCCTTTACACCCCTCCCCAGCGACAAAAGAGCAGCCGATCCAACATGGATCCAGAGTCCAGGCCTGGAAAGAGAGCGGGTACCCGGCCATCCCGCTGAGATCTGACTTTCCAATTCTGAGGCCTCGGCGACTGCCGCTACTCTCCCAACCAGCTGGGACCCGAGCGCGGACGTCAGCGCTCAGCTCGGCAGGTGGGCTGGTGGGAGGGGGCGGCCCGCGGGGGTCCAAAGCCGGGCCCAGCCG